GCCTGTGCCTGCTGGTGCAGTGCAGGTTGGCGTTCTGGCCGGTGGGCTATGTGACCTTGGCCGCACTGACGTCCTCTGATCCTTTTGCATAGCCCACCCCTGTGCAGAAGGCAGGGGGCTGAGAGCCTCCCTTGCAGAGTCGTTGTGAGAATTAGGAAAAACGGAGTCTGGCACAATAGTGGCCACAGCTGTTGGGAAATAAGCCTGAGCTCCCAGTGCCCACCCCACGCGCTGGCCCCTCTCTCCCACAGGCCCAACGGCGCCCTGGAATCCTGCTCCTTTGCCCGCCACAGTCTGCTGCAGACGCTGCACAAGGTCTAGACTCAGAGCAGCCTCTCGGATCCTCGCCTGGACCCGTGACTGGGGACTGAGATGAACTCGGCTGCGGCCACGCAGGACTCGGGCAGAGGCAGGGCGGGTCCCCGGGTACATGTGTCCTTGTGGTGTGTGTGCAGGTGTGCGCTTCCTGTCGGGCCCGGGGTCTTCATGTCCCCTGCTGGACTGGCCCTGCTCCGCTCTGGGGAGCTCTGCCATTAAACTCCCCACCATCCGAGGAGGCCCTGCTGGCTGCGCCTGTGCTCAGGGCCCTGCTGGCTGCGCCACCCCCGCCCCTCGGCTCCCCTGGGCTGCACCGAGCCTGGGGAGCTGTGTCCCCTCCCCGTGTACTGGGTGTTCCCTGCCAGCCTGGGACTGCGCGCTCAGTGGCTGCCTCTGCCTCTTGTCAGTACACTCTGGTCCTGACGTGGTCACCATCTCCCATCCATAGCTGCTATGCTGACCACCTGGCCTGAGCAGCACTTGCCACTGTGGGGCTGCGGGGTGGTCAGCAGAGGGCCAGGCCCTAGCCTCCATGCTGTGTAGACCAGAAGAGAGAGCGGTGGGCAGACGCCGTGCTGTCGAAGAGCAGGAGTTGCCTGGGACTGCTCTGGCTCCTGGGCCCGATGCGGCTCTCCCTGGCTGCTGAGCAGTTGTATGTGACTGGCCCTGGGGGTCAGCCCTGTTCCCCAGCCTGGGAACGGCAAGGAGAAGGGAGGGCCCCCCGCACCTGAGCGGCACCTGGGGCAGGGGAGGGATGGGGCCTGTGCTGGCAGGAGATGCCCTGGACCCCTGAGCCGCCTGTGCTTTCCCTTTGTGCTCCGTGTGTCTGGGCTGCGCCTGGGGCTTCACAAATAAACGTGTGTGTGGCAGCTGCAGAGACCTCGAAGCGTCCTTCCTCTGAATGGTGTCCTCCGGGCCACGGTGTGCACTTCCACCCAGTCTCCGAGGCGCACTGGACCCTGCAGGCAAGCCCAGCAACGCCCTTGTCTCAGCTGCCGCCGCTGGTGCAGATGCTTCCTCTGTGGGCGGGGCAGGCAGGGAGCATCCTGCTCTTGGCACTGGAGGTCCCGGGTTGCACCTGCTCTACCTGCCTGACCCTTGCCCACCTTTGGGCTGCAGCTTCTTAGGCGCCTGCATTTTTGGACCCAGCTGGGCTGGACACTGTCCGTGTTTTGTGTTAGGCCCTGAGGCTGCAGTCAGAAGCCCTGGGGCTGCTAGAAACCAGCACAGGTGACTGGCTACCAGGGGGAGTCCATGTTGCCCATGGGGACCTCCAAGAAGGGTCACTGAGGTCACATCGTTTTCTGCATGGCTGTGGACCCTTGGTTGGCGTCTTTCTTGGTGGTAGCTGAGATGGCCAGGCCTCCCCTCCCCTCCCCTGAGGAACTGCCTTGAGGGGGCTCCCGGTGTGGGGGCTAGGCTGTGGGGTGAGGGCCGTCTGCGAGTGTTAGGGATGCAAGAACCGAGTCTTGAGAGGCAGATAGGATTTCTGCAGGGTGACTTGAGACATGGAGACACTGGGCTGAGTCGGGGCTGTCCCAGGTTCTTAACCTGGCCTGGTCCCTCAGTGGAGCGAGTGCAAGCTTGGCTCAGACCGTGAGGGGCCCAAGTCTCCCCTCCCCACAGGCCATCAGCGCCTGAGTTCTTGAGCCCTCACGAAGGATCTGGGCGCTAGGAGTGGCGGCATCTTACAGCCCTGCCTTAGTCCTTCCAAGTAGCTCCAGGCTCTGCAGCTCCTGGCCAGCACCAGGTGGAGGGAAGAGCCTGGGCCAATAACTGCTGCTCACCGAGGAGCTGTAACCTTGGGAGTTTGCTCCAGACTCAAACCTTGCACAGCCTCCAGCTCCAAACACCCTCTGAGAGTGGCCGCCAGGCCCCTAGAACTCTGATTCTGGATCTCTGTGCACCCAAGGGCCCCTTGCTGCTCAGCAGGAGGCTGACTCCACTTACGGAGCTTGAGCCACGCACTGGAAGGGCTTCCATGGCAATGCCGTTCTTTAGCTTGGACTAGAAAACCAGGAAGCACAGTCGGTGCTGTTGATGATAGCAAGAACCTGAAAACAGGCCAGCATTGGGGTGTAGCGGTTGAGCCTCCTCCACCTGTGATGATAGCATCCGTGTGAGCACCAGCTCCAGTCCTGGCTGCTCCTTTTCTGATCCAGCTCCCTGCTAATGTGCTTGGGAAAGCAGTGGAGGTGGGCCCCTGCCACCCACTTGGAAGACACAGATGAAGCTCCAGGACCAGTGAATGGAAGAAATTCTCCCCCCTCTATCCTTCCTTCCTCGCTCCCCCTCTCTGTAACTCTGCTTTCAAATAAATAATCTTTTTTTTTTAAGTGCTTCATTAATAATAAGAAGAAGAACCTAGAAAGAACTCAAGTCCAACATCAGGAAGACGGGTGGATAAAATGCAAAAGGGGAGACCGGCACCATGGCCTAGCAGGTAAAGCTGCCACCTGCAGTGCTGGCATCCCATATAGGCACCGATTTGAGTCCCAGCTGCTCCACTTGAAATCCAGCTCTGCTATGGCTTGGGAAGGCAGTGGAGGATGGCCCAAATCCTTGGATCCCTGCACCCGCGTGGGAGACCCAGAGGAAGCTCCTGGCTCCTGGCTTCAGATCGGCACAGCTCCTGCCGTAGTGGTCATTTGGAGAGTAAACCAGCAGATTGAAGACCTCTCTGCCTCTGCCTCTGTAACTCTGCCTTTCAAATAAGTAAATTTAACAAAGAGAGGCCGGTACTGTGGACTAGGCTGCCTGCATTCCGTGTGCACCAGCTGGAGTGCGGCTGCTCCCCTTCTGATGCAGCTCCCTGCCAGTGCACTTGGGAGGCAGTGGAAGATAGCCTAAATTCTTGGGTCCCTGCGCCCATGTGAGGAACTGGATAGAGTTCCCAGCTCCAGGGAGGCCATCTGGGGAATGGCCCAGTGGAGGGAAGATTATCTCTAACCCTGCCTTTAAAGAAATCTTAAAAAACCCGCTACAGTGAAAGTGCATTAGCTACAGCTGTGTGCATAGTGGATGACTCAGTAGCACTGCTAACTGAAGGGAATCTCAGTACAAGTCAGTGGATCAGGAAAAAGCTAAACGTGTTGGTCCTACGTATGAATCACGCATTGCAGTTACAATTAAAAGACATGACTGGTGTGAGTTCTTGGCCTAGTGGCTGAGACACCCATGTGCCGTGGTGGAGCGCCTGGTCTGGTGCCCGCCCGTGTGCCGTGGTGGAGCGCCTGGTCTGGTGCCCGCCCGTGTGCCGTGGTGGAGCGCCTGGTCTGGTGCCCGCCTGTGTGCCATGATGGAGCGCCTGGTCTGGTGCCCGCCCGTGTGCCGTGGTGGAGCGCCTGGTCTGGTGCCCGCCCGTGGGCCGTGGTGGAGTGCCTGGTCTGGTGCCCCCTCGTGTGCCATGGTGGAGCGCCTGGTCTGGTGCCTGCCCTCCAGCTTCCTAATGCAGACCTTGGGAGGCAGCAGTTGTGCTCAAGTAGTTGGGTTCCAGCCACTCACGCTGGACATCTTGAGTTCACAGCTCCTGGCTTTGGTCCCAGGTACATGTTTCTGTCTCAATAAGTAAAAGGCATGATATTCAATAACGTTAATAAGGATATCACTCAGTGAGATTTATCCCTAGCATGCAAAGGTGGTTCAACACACAAAAATGAATTAATGTAAAATGCAACATTGACAATAAAAGATAATAGCATCATTGTCTCCATAGCTGCAGAAAAGGTGTTTGACAGAATTCAGCACTTTGATGACAAAAACTCAACAAGAAGGGTGTTTGGACTGGCAGTTAAGCAACCAGATGGGTTGCAGACACTCCACATTGCCAGACACCTGGATTTAAGTCCTGGCTACATGTCTGACCCCAGCTTCCTGCTGATATGTATCTTGGGAGAGTATCCTGGAGAGTTCTGGCTCCCAGCTTTGGCCCAGCCTCAACCCCAGCCATTTTGGGCATTTGAGAAGTAAACAAGCAGATGGGACCTCTCTCCCAAATAATTTCTTTAAAAATTGAGTGAACTGTATAATCAAAGATGCAATTCTATCAGAAACACTGATCTGAAAAACTGCAGAATACATAGTTTGCTCTAGATTGGGCATACTGTTTATTTTTTAATGCATGCATGCCTGAAAAGATATATATTTGGATATTCTTTGCAACATTGTTTCTTTTTAAAAAATATTTATTTGAAAGTCAGAGTTACACAGAGAGGAGAGGCAGAGAGAGAGAGAGAGAGAGGTCTTCCATCCACTGGTTCACTCCCCAATTGGACACAACGTCCAGAGCTGTGCCAATCCAAAGCCAGGAGCCAAGAGTTTCTTCCGGGTCTCCCACGTGGGTGCAGGGGCCTAAGGACTTGGGCCATCTTCTACTGCTTTCCCAGGCCAGAGCAAAGAGCTGGACTGAAAGAGGAGCAGCCGGGACTAGAACTCGGGGTACCAGCACCGCAAGCAGAGGATTAGCCTAGTGAGCCGTGGCGCCGGCCCCAACATTGTTTCTAACAACAAAAAATGGCTACCGAAATATCTAAGATGAATAAATAAATTCGAAACATTTTGACAATGAAATACTGTACAAAAGTCAAAATGAGTAAGTATATTCAGAGGAATCAATTTGAGCTTCTAATAGTCATGTTGGATAAAAATAATTTGCAGAATGCTGTATTACAGTATTAAACATTGTAGGTGTATGTAAATGGATAAACACAAGCAATCAGAAAGGAAAAGTGTTCCATCCTTGAGTAACTATTAGGTACCAGGTGCTACCATGCTGCCCGCGGCAAACCCTATGAACTGGTTACTGACTGGTTTCTGTTTTTCCGAGACCAGAAACTGCGGCTAGGTGAGGGACAGTGTCACAGAGGAGGGAGGGAGCCCAGGGCCGCTGACCCACAGGCTGGCTCCTCCCTGCTGCCCAGGTGGCCCGTGGACTCAGGCCTGGGCCATGTTCCTGGGCTGGCGCCGGGCAGGAGGCCCTATGAATCCAGCCACCAACCCCTCCCCTGCCTAGGGAAGCCCCAGTGTGGCCAGGCTGCCAACAATGCCTCCCATTCAGCCTTGTCCCTGCTGCCAGGCCTGCGGGGGCTGGGGAGGGGGCCTCCTGCCTTCGTCATCCAGCGAGCGGGGACTGTCGCCGGCCTTTCCCTTGTGCTGTGCCTGCAGGCAGGGCTGGCAGAGACAGCATGGAGGGGTGAGTCTTGGGGCCCTGAGGGTGCAGTGGGGACTTCGAGGAGCTGGGTGGCAGCAGGCCAGCCCCTGCCGCTCTCTGGCCCTCTGGGGCAGGGGGAGGGGGTCTGGGAGCTCTCTCGGCCTGAGATTTTAGAAGGTTCTCCCTGTGGAAGACGTGTCTGGAACGTGGCCACGCTGATGTGCTCCTGGGGGTTAACCCTGTGGGGACCCGTCTCAGCGTTCAGCAGCCCTGAGCCCCAGACACTGTCCCTTTAGGGACCTGTCCCCAGCGTTCCCCTTCCTGGTCTGCCCTGAGCCAGCCTTCACCAAGGCTCTGACGAAGGCCCCGGCTCCCAGGAAGGGGTGGATCCTGAGATCCTAAGGAGTCACAGTGACAAGCCAGTGAGGGAGGGGTGAGGGTAGGCAGCTGGAGGCCGGCAGGACAAGACTGAGCTGGGCATGTCGGGTGACCCATGCAGTGAGGCGAGAGCTCCGTGCCTGTGCAGGGACACAAAGTTGGTCCAAGTGTGCTGGTGGCAGGGGGGCCCAGGCGACGATGAAGAATGTAGTGGATTCCAGTTAAGGAATCGGGAAAGTTAAGGCTTTCCACCAAAGGCCGTGGGGGAGACGCTGAAGGATTTGCAGCTGTGGACATTCCGATTTGTGTTCTGGAACATTCCCTTTGGTTCGCGGTGGTGAGTGGAGCGCAGAAGCCAGGAGAGCCCTGGTGGCAGCAGGGACAGGTGGGTGGGTGGCTGTGTGACTGCTGGGCGGATGGGTGGACAGTCCAGACTGCTGCGTGGCACTCAGGAGAAGGCAGAACAAAACGGAAGTTAAAAGGCTCCCTCCCGAACCTCAGACCCCACAGCCCCGGGCCCCGCCCACCTGTGCACAGCTCAGGCCCGCCCTGGGGCCTCTCCTCCCGCGGCCAAGGTGTCTACTCGAGGTGGTGCCACGTGTCCCTGCTCCCTGGGAGCGGGCATGGCTTCTGCACCTCCTCCCTTGCACCGAAGCTTGGCCACAGCCTGGTGCGTGCCCTGCTGGCGGAGAGGGAAGGGCCTCCTCGGGTCACTCTTCTGAGCCTTGGTTTCCTCCAGCATAAAGCGGGACTAAGAATACCCACTGCACAGGGCAGCGATGGCAATGCCATTTTCCTGGTGCAGAGTGGGAGGCTCCGAGGGGTTCTGGGGGCAGGAGCCGCACCACGGCTGGGCTCAGTGAGAGCACAAGGCCCCCGCCCCTGTGGACAACCGACCCTCCCGCACCCCCAGGCCCCAGAGCTGCGCCCACACCTCCTTGCTGCTGCTGCTGCTGCTGCCGCTGCTGCCACCACCAGGCCCAGCTTGGCGCGCGGCAGCCCAGCGCTGCCCCCAGACCTGCGTCTGTGACAACTCCAGGCGCCACGTTGCCTGCCAGCGCCAGAACCTCACTGAGGTGCCGGACACCATCCCTGAGGTTAGCAGGACCCCAGCATGGGTGTGATGGGGTGGGGGGTGGCAGTGGGAGGAGCCTGGGCTGGGCACCAGTGGACCTGCCACCATCTGGCTGGGAGGTCTTGGCAAGTGACTTCTGCTGAGCCTCAGTCTTCATATCTGTATAATGGAAAGCCAGGACAGGGAGATGATCTATTGGAAACCCTTGTTGTGTGACTGGAATAAGTAGGTGACCTGAAGATTAAATGCTGAATTCATTGCAGGCCTGTGGCAGAGAAACGGTGGTCTCTGCCTTAGGAAGTCCCAAGCTAGTGGGGGGTAAACAGACAGTGACAAGATGGTGGGAAGAGGGCCACGGTGAGGGGGAGGCTTCCTGGAGGAGGCATCAAGGATCTGGATGCAGAGAAGTAGGGAAAGGTGTGGGAAGGCGCTGCAGGGGGGTAAAACGGCCTCAGCCGGCTTTGCTCTCTGCCGCAGCTGACCCAGCGCCTGGACCTCCAGGGCAACCTGCTGCAGGGGATCCCCCCAGCTGCCTTCCGGCACCTGCCCCATCTCACGCACCTGGACCTGCGCCACTGCCAGGTGGAGCAGGTGGCCGAGGGTGCCTTCCGCGGCCTGGGCCGCCTGCTCCTCCTCAACCTGGCCTACAACCGCCTGAGCGCGCTGCCCCAGGAGGCCTTGGACGGACTGGGCTCGCTGCGGCGGCTGGAGCTGGAGGGGAACATGCTGGAAGAGCTGCGGCCCGGGACATTCGGGGCACTGGGCGCTCTGGCCACGCTGAACCTGGCCCGCAACGCCCTGGTCTACCTGCCCGACATGGCCTTCCAGGGCCTGCTGCGCACGCGCTGGCTGCAGCTGTCCCACAACGCGCTCAGCGTGCTGGCCCCCGAGGCCCTGGCCGGTCTGCCGGGCCTCCGCAGGCTCAGCCTGCACCACAACGAACTCCAGGCCCTGCCTGGCGCAGCCTTGTCCCAGGCCCGCAGCCTGGTGCGTCTGGAGCTGGGCCATAACCCTTTCACCTATGCGGGCGAGGAGGACGGGCTGGCGCTGCCGGGCTTGCGCGAGCTGGTGCTGGACTACGGGGCCCTGCAGGCCTTGGATCCCCGCGCCTTCGCCCACTGCCCGCGCCTGCGCACCCTCGACCTGCGAGGGAACCAGCTGGACACGCTGCCCCCGCTGCAGGGCCCGGGCCAGCTGCGCCGCCTGCGGCTGCAGGGGAACCCGCTGTGGTGCGGTTGCCAGGCGCGGCCCCTGCTTGAGTGGCTGGCGCGCGCGCGCGTGCGCTCGGACGGCGCGTGCAGAGGGCCGCGGCGCCTGCGGGGTGAGGCCCTGGACGCCCTGCGGCCCTCGGACCTGCGCTGCCCGGGAGACGCGGAGGAGGAGGAGGAGGAAGCAGAGCGCGCCGTGGCCCCGCCCCGCGGCCCTCCGCGCGCGCCGGGGGAGCCGGATGCGGTGGCTGCGCCCTGCCCGCGCGCTTGCGTGTGCGTCTCCGAGTCCCGGCACAGCGGCTGCGAGGGCCGCGGTCTGCAGACTGTGCCCCACGGCTTCCCTAGCGACACTCAGCTCCTGGACCTGAGGCGGAACCACTTCCCGTCGGTGCCCCGAGCGGCCTTCCCCGGCCTGGGCCACCTGGTGTCGCTGCACCTGCAGCAGTGTGGCATCACAGAGCTGGAGGCCGGCGCCTTGGCGGGCCTGGGCCGCCTCATCTACCTCTACCTCTCGGACAACCAGCTCTCGCGCCTCAGCGCCGCTTCCCTCGAAGGGGCCCCCCACCTGGGCTACCTGTATCTGGAGCGTAACCGCTTCTCGCAGGTACCCGGGGCCGCCCTGCGCCCTCTGCACAGCCTCTTCTCCCTGCACCTGCAGGACAACGCTGTGGACCACCTGGCACCCGGGGACCTGGCGGGGGTGCGGGCCTTGCGCTGGCTCTACCTGAGTGGAAACCGCATCACCGAGGTGTCCCCTGGGGCGCTGGGCCCAGCACGAGAGCTGGAGAAGCTGTACCTTGACAGGAACCAGCTGCGAGAGGTGCCCACGGCGGCCTTGGAGGGTCTGCCTGCCCTCCTGGAGCTGCAGCTCTCGGGGAACCCGCTCAGGGCCCTGCACGAGGCGGCCTTCCGGCCTGTGGGCCGGTCCCTGCAACACCTCTTTCTAAACAGCACTGGCCTGGAGCAGGTGGGCACCGGGCTTGGCACATTCCCTCAACGAACTTTTTAAATGTTATTATTTGAAAGGCAGAGTGACAGAGAGGGAGGGAGGAGAGAGAGAGAGAGAGTGACAGAGAAGGAGACAGGGGGACATGGAGAGGGGGCTTCCATCTCGTTCCCTCCCCAAATGGCCACAATGTCCAGGCTGGGCCAGGCTGAAGTTAGGAGCTTGGAGCTTCTTCCGGGTCTCCCACGTGGGTGCAGGGGCCCAAGGACTTGGGCCATCTTCCACTGCTCTCCTAGGCACATTGGCAGGGAGGTGGGTCAGAAGTGGAGCGGCTGGGACTCGAGTGGGTGCTCATATGGGATGGCAGTGTCCCAAGTAGTAGCTTAGTGTACTGTGCCACAGAGCACCCCCCACACACCTGGCAGCAAGCATCTTGCCACCTCCTTGGTGCCAGATTCCAGGCTGAGTGTGGGGACGCTGAGAGACGCCAGACACTGGCCTCGTCCTTTGGGGACTCAGGTGTGGGTGCCAGGCTGGGTGGAATCCAGTGCTGCAAGGCCAGAGGCCTGCCCAGGGAGGGCACTACTAGGGCATGGAGAAGGGGGGACTTGGGGCCATGGGGGTCACCTGTGTACACTTTGAGAGTCCCCGGGAGGCTGTGCCATTGTCAGGGTGTTGGGCTCATGCAGAACAGAAAGACCACAAACTGGACAACCAGTGAGTTGGATGGAGCGAGTGCTTTGATGGGAGACCAACCTGGGTTGTGACCCCAGCACTGCCCTTCCTACCTGGGCCCCTGTATCTCCCCTTGCTGGACCATGGTGGGACCCCCTCCCAGACCTGGGATGAGACGGGCCTGGCAGGGCCTCATGCAGGGTCTGGCACCTCCCACCTCCTTGCAGATGTCTCCTGGGGCCTTCCTGGGCCTGGGGCCTGGGCTGCAGAGCCTGCACCTGCAGAAGAATCACCTGCGGGCTCTGCCTGCCCTGCCGGGCCTCAGGCAGCTGGAGCTCATTGACCTCAGCGGCAACCCCTTCCACTGTGACTGCCAGCTGCTCCCGCTGCACAGGTGGGCACCCCGCCAGACCCCCAAGTCAGACCCCTGCCTCTTCCCTGGGGGCACCCTGCCTGTGTTTGGCTGAGTAGCTTGTGGGGGTGGGCAGGGGCGAGTCCTGCCAGAGCCACGCCTGAATGAGCCCATTTCAGCCTCAGCTGCCCTTCCTGGGGGGCTGGGGTGGCCTCCACTGAGCCCCAGTTCCCTCACCCATAAAGGAGGAGCGATCCCTGCTGTCCCCTCGGGCTGGGACCTGGTGAACACAGTAATCCCACAAGAAGGCAGACCTGGGCTCCTTGGGCTCTGTGATTTTACCAGCTAAACCTCAGTAAAAGTATCTGCCTAACTAGAAAGGTGCATTTGGGGCCTGTGTTGTGGTGCAGCGGGCTAAGCTGCTGCCTGGGACCCCGTAGCCTGGGAAGGCAGCAGAGGATGACCCGGTGCTTGGGCCCCTGCGGCCCATGTGCTCTTCATGGAGGCTCTTAGCCGACTGTCAGCACGGTGGGCTCTCAGGCTCTCTCTTTCCCACAGGTGGCTCACTGGGCTGAACCTGCGGGTGGGGGCCACCTGCGCCAGCCCTCCCAGTGCCCGTGGCCAGAGGGTGAAGGCTGCAGCTACCGTCTTTGAAGCCTGCCCGGGTGGAGCTGCCAGGAAGTCTACACAGACACCAGCGGCTAGGCCTGGTGCCCGGAAAACTTCCATGCAGGGGAGACAGCGGGAAGCAGACAAGGTTGGTCCTGGGCTGGTGGGCCAGGCCCCAGAGCTGCTGGGGTGGTGGGGGTTGCGCTCCTCTGTCCGACCCATGTGTTTCCGGGGCTGGGCAGAGACCCTGCTGTGTCTGCTCAGTGACATCACACCCCTCCTCCACGCTTGGGCTGGGCCCAGGGTGGGTCTGTAGGAAAGTAACCATGCACTGTTCCCTTGTGTGGGACAGCGGCTTTCCCAGCAGGCCACAGCACCCCTGTCCCACGCGTCCATAAGATCAGTCCTGTGGTCCACCCGGCCTCTTGCGCCTCACCCCCCAGGGCGAGCAGGTGTGGTGTTGGCTCTGCCTCCTGCCACCTGCCGGCCACAGCGGTGGCCCCAGGCAACACCCGCCATCCTGACTTCCCCAGGCCCAGCTTGAGCCCTCAGTTGTAGCGAAATCTCTGGGTGCATCAGAGGAGGGGAACGAGATAGGAGTGCCTCAGGGCAGGGTGTCAGGGTGCCCGTGAAGGGTGCGAGGGCCAGTCCTTACAGGCAAGTGAGAACAAACAGGCACTGGGACGGGCCAGAGGCCATTAGCTGGGGTTCGCATTCGTGCCCTGGGCCCTCCCACAGCAAGAGCACACACTGGGTGGCCCAGAAAAACGAAGACTGCTGCTGACTGTGAGCTGGAAGCTGAGAACCAAGTCGAGTGCAGGGCCCCGGAGGGGGAACCCTTCCTCACCTCTGCCAGCGCCAGAAGTCCTCTGGCTTTGGCAACGTAATCCCAGTGCCTACCTTGGGCTCTTCACAGCATCTCCCCTCTCTGTGCCGTTTCCCTTTCTTGCAAGGATACCCCTCCTACCGATCAGGGCCCAATCTAATGATCTCATCTTAACTCCATTCTCTCTACAAAGATCCTACCTCCAAATGAGGTCAGACTCCGAGGTACCAGAGGTTAGGGTTCCCGTTTACCCCTGTCAGCTGACAGTATTCCTGTGGAGGCAGGCTGGGATGGAGGCAGGAAACCCCAAGACTGCAAGCTGTGGGGGAGCAGGTGTGGCCTTCGAAGGCAGAGAGCTGGTGTAGACAAGGCAGCAGCCCCGCCCTCCACCAGGCACTGTACCAGCTGACACCACAGCAGCCCTGGGCGCAGAGGTGCACCTGCTGCTCAGCCTGGCCCAGGAGGGGAGGCTCCAGTCCTCCAGACCAGGAACTTGGTTAAAAGGAGAGTAGAGGGTATGGTGGCTTCAGCACACAGTGGGGCCTCTTGGGTCATTTGACTCAGCTGCCCTTTCTGACACGGGGATACTCCACCCAGTGCCAGCCCCGGACTGCTGCGCTCTTTAGGTCAATGTGTTTCCTCCTAGGAAGGCTGAGGGCCCTGAGCTCTGGCAGCCCCAGGCTGTGGGTGCTTCCCTGTGGGCATGAGTCTGGGCCGCGTCTGCCCGCTCTCCCTCCAGGCCCCATGGAAGGTGGTTAACATGAAGGACTGGGACGGAGTGGATACCGAGCACAGGGGGGAGTGCGAGAGGCCAGCCCCGCCAGCCCCACTGCTGTCACCAAGCAGCCGTAGACATAAGCAATCAACTTGCTCGTCTTTATTGAGCCCTCCCTCTTCTCACCTGTGAGAAGTCAGAATGAACCTCTCGGGGCTCCTTAAATGTGTGGTTCACCTAGTGCCTGGGGGAGGAGGTCCTTGGTACTTTCCAGCAGAGGGTCCAAGCCACACAAGCTCTTTCTCAGATCTTCAGATCCCCTAATTGCAAGGGAATCTGCAATGATGAAGTCTGGCCGGGCTCTGGGAGCAGCAGCAGAGCGTCTTCCCCACAGCCTCCCGGGGCCGATGCCACTGACCCGGCACCCCGAGTCTCAGCGCTGTGCGTGTGGGTGATGGCAGGGGAGGCACGGCCCCTTGCCGCACTCCTCTGGGGCTCGTCAGTTTCCAGACCTGCTGACATTGGAAGAAACCTGGGCTGCACCAGCTGCCACTTCTGGGCCTGGCTTCTGCAGGGACAGAGGCTGTCTGTCTTTAGCAAAGGGAACAGGGTCGGGTTCTCTCGGACCCTGTTTAGAATCCCCCAGGTCCTGGATGCTGGAAAGTTGCACCTGCATCTCAGGGATGAATGAACCCAGCCCTGAGCAAACCACAGCACAGCCAGCCAGCAGCAGGTGCAGGTGGCCTGGGCCGATAGAGCAGCACACAGGCCCGAGGGGCCGCAGGAGACAGGACCAAGCCAGGCCACACAGCCCCTTCCAAAAACCTAGGTGGAAGAGAAGGGCCAGGACTGCAGCCTGGCCCGACCTTGGTTTCAGGAAGAGGAGCTCAGGACAGACGCATGGCTGATCAGAGAGCTTTATGGGTGGCTGAAGTTTGGGCAGACACCAGGTGAAGGAGTTAAAAGGACTGGGACCGTAGGGGTAGCGAGCCAGGATCCATACCCTGTGTGTGCCCCCCACCCCCACCCTGGCACTGGTGGAAAAGCGGGGGAAGGGCTGACCACCCCCAGCGACAAGGCCATCCCTGACCCTGCTTAATGGGCAGGAGGGGAATGCAAACGTCGGTCCAGCCCAGGCCAGGCCCCAGAGCAGGTCAGACTCAGACAGGGCTGGACGGTGCAAGGGCCAAGCTCATCTTCGGATCCTGCTGCCCCTGGCAGTACCAGGCCTCAGCCCCTCCCCCACCCCACCCTGTTCCTTTACGGAAGTGGGGGCAGTGCTCAGGCCACCGCACAAGTCGCCAAATCCTGGTCACCGCTTCTCAGCTGCCCACCACCGCAGGGTCCCTGGGAGCCAGGAGCACAGCACAGGCCGGGCGGGCTTCCAGGTGGGGGCTGCTGCTGTCACAGCACTCGTGTCAGTCAGGCGACCTTTATTTACACACAGTCCATGTCCTGCCTTCCTGTGGAGCTACCACTCCAGCTTCCGGGCTCTGCCTGGGGCGGGGCTGCTCACACCCGTCACGTAGATCTCTCCAGCCAGCACGGAGGCGTGAGGTGTCAGAGACCCGGGCCTCACAGCAGGCAGCATCTATACAAAAAGGCTCAGTTTCCACACTCAGGAGGCGTGGCAGGCTGGGGGAGCAGAGGAGCCGCCCCCTCTGCTCGGCCCAGGCCGGCTCAGTCCGGCGTCTCCTGCTTGATCTTCTCTGTGGGGACAGGCAGCTCTGGACCCGAAGCCTTGCCAGGTGAGGCTGTGCTTGGATGCTCGTCCTTCACACACACAGCGATGACTACAGAGGGAAGGAGGCGGGCGGGGAGAGCAGAGTCAGCGAGCCGAGCCTGTCACACCAGGGAGGGTCAGGGCCCGGGCTCTGGGAGAGGAAGCTGGCTGCCTGCAGAGGGCAGAGCGCCTTCACCCTCCTGCTCACCTCCAGGGGCTCACCTCCAGGGCCCAGGCCCCAGGCCCACCCCAGCCAGGCCCCCACCCATCTGCCACCCACCCTGCCAAGTACGAGGGCGGGGGCAGAGGGGCTTGGCTCCCACCAGAGGCGGGGGCAGGTGCTTGGGAAGCCCTTGTGGTTCAAGGGCTGCTTGGTGCCCGGAAGTCCCTTCACGCATGACTCCACTCTTCTGTGCCCAGGTGGGGAAGGAGAGGGGCCGCCTCTGAGCACGGAGCAGGCTGGCCCTGCCTCGACCCGCTCCCACGGCTCTTACTCTCGTCGGGAACGGGCTCCGACGAGATCTCCCCCGCCGTCTGCAGGTCGTCGTCCAGCAGCGGCTTCTTGGACCCCTGCCTGAGGGGCCGGGTCTTGGTCGGCGGGATCCTTTTCCCTTTGAATAAAAATGGAATCAAACCCAGAATCAGGGTCGAATCCATGCGAGGCTTACAGGCCAGGGTCTCACCCAGCGTCAGCACGGCGCAGGGGAACGTGCGGTGCGGGGACAACAGGCTGGACTGCAGCTCTGACGATGCCCAGTCCTGGCCCTGTGCCCTGGGGTCAGGCGGGTCTCTCCCACAGCACGCCGGGAACACCACTTCCCTCCAGAGCCGAGGCTCAGAGCTACGGTGGTTTAGTTTAAGCTTTTTAAAATTTGAGAGGCAGAGAGCGCGCGCTCCCATCTGCCTGTTCAAGCCCTAAATATTTTCAACAGCCAACAGCAGGAGCCGAGAACACAACCCAGGTCCCCAGACACTTGAGCCATCACTGCTGCCTCCCAGGGTCCGCACCAGCACGGAATGCAGGGTGTGGGGCACTGGCACCTTAACTGCCAAACGCCTCTCCCAGTTCCCTTTCCTGATCCTTGATTTCCACACCTGCAGCTCACAACCCTGCTGAGTGCTGAATGGCACAGACCCCTCACGCCTGTACCCTGCCCAGGGCCCTCAGCCCACTGCGGCTCTGTCCTGTCCCAGGGCGTCCTCTTCCCTGCCTGGTGCCACGTGGTGGAGCCGCCCAACGCCGAGGACAGCTGAGCACCCTGCTGCCTCCAGCGGAGCCCACCCTGGGCTCAGGATCTGTTGAGGGTGGGACCAGCTGAGGGGAACAGTGGCCAGGAGTCTAGATGCCTTTGCTCTCACCCTCCAGGAGATCCGGAGAGACAGCACCCCGCCCATGCCATGCCTTGACCTTAGAACCAAGTGGCCATGTGGTGCCCAGGCGGCCACGCCATCTTCTGAGCCTGGGGCAGCAGGGATGGGGACCCTCCCCCCAGTACTATCACTGCCCCTTCCTCAGCGTCTTGACTGCCAGAGACTGAATTCCCGAATTGTGCTCTGGGTCCCCAAAGGCCCAGGGAGAAAGGCTTGTGGGGCCAAAGGGCCAGGGAGGGGCACCATGCAAGAGCTTCCTGGGTGCGCAGCACCTGGGGGCCCCCAGGGACACGGCCCGGCTGCCCTGGGGCATCACTTACTTTTCTTCCCAAACTGCTTCTTTTTCTTCTTCGTGGCCTCTTTGGCCTTCAGAGGTGTGGCTGGTTCTGTTGTTGAAAGACAAGGGCAAAAGCACTAAGTCTGGGAGGCCAGCACACAGGCTGCCCCGAGAAGGGAGGCCACACTGGGGGGGGGGGGGGGGGAGGGCTGGGGAACAGTTCCTTCTTCCCATCCTCATTACCAGGGCTGCCGGAGGGGCTGGCAGTTTCCTGGGTGCACGGGGGCACGCGCGCATGACAGAGTGAGCAGGACGCAGGCCGGAGGGAGGGGGAGAGTGGTGGGCAGCGGGGCTGGGAGGCAGAGTTCACATTCTGCTTAGAGGGGTCAGGACACTGCCCGGCCCCAAGCCAAAGAACTGAGGTGGGCATGAGGGAGCGCGAGTGGTTGGCAGGAAGGAGGAAAGAGCCCTTTAGGGCTGTGAGGAGCCAGACCTGCGGCCACAGGAGGCTGGAGCTGGTAGCCGGTGAGCTCACACCAGCCCACGGGGTAGATGTCCGGGGATTCACAGTCCACCCACTGGTCGTACTCGTTGTCCCAGCCGTCAAAGTGGATGCTGAGCAGCCGCTGTACCACCCGCGTCACCGTGGCCACACAGATTAGCCGGGGCTCCATCAGGTCCACGGCCTCCAGCTTCATGCCCACCTTGAAGCCATGGTTGGGGCAGTCCTGGGGTGGGGGAAGCAGTTGCCAGGCCAGTCAGCTTCCTGTCCCCGCAAACCCGTGGAATGTCGGGATGGGGGGTGGGGTGTTGCGCTGGAGGGCCCTTGGGGCAGGGTCATCTGGACAATGACCCCTCTGTGCCTCTTTCCCACGCGGCGGCCCCGCATCCCTCTATGGAAAAGGCACGGCTAAACCAAGGCTCGGCAGGTGCCCAGTGTCACCCAGCAGCAGGGCCTCGAGGGCAGTGGGCAGGGACAGTTCAGGCCACCACAGCCCCCGCTCCATCGTCGGTCTCCTCACCATGTTAAAGAGTCTCGACGGAGCTGCTTTCGACTTGGTTTTCTCCAAGTAGGTGTCCCAGTTGAAAGTCTGCGTCTCATATCCTGGGGGAGCAGAGGCTTAGATGTGGAGGAGAAAGGGGAAGCAGTCGGGGGAGGCAGACCCTGCCACACCAGCCTTCTCCCTTCCTCCCGGGCAGGCATCACATAGGTTGTTCACTGGCCAAAGGCACGAGCGGCAGCTCTGTTCACCACCCACGTGCTGGCCGTGGGCTCAGGTTGGCTCAGCCACGGCGAGGGCCAGTGGAGGCCTGGGCAGCTCTGTCACCTCTCCCACACTGAGGCTCCATGGCCCAGGAGTCCGACCTGACCAGCCATCTGGGCCTGTGGCCTCACTCTGCCCCTTCCAACAAGGCAGCCTGTGGTGGCCAGTCTAATCATACCTTTCGGGGGTGTGAGCTCGATGTCATTTTTTTGGCAAAAGGTGGCTGGGAAGATGGCGTGGGAAGAGGCGTGGTAACAGAACCAGTCCGAGCCATCTGTGGAGGGCCCGCCATCCACACAGATCATCAGGTAGCCGTCCAGGAGCACCTGGGGAGCAGACGCCATCGAACCCTGAGCCGTGTCCAGGGAGACACGAGGCTGCTGCGCGCGGACTCAGCCCTCCGGGCGAGCACCCAGCTTCTGCTCCAGGGCATTGGTGCTTCTGTGCTGCCGGCGAGGAGACGGTCCCGTCCTGAGGCAGCAGAGGCTGTGCCAGCAGGGGCTCCGTCCTCCTGTTGCCTTGGCATCCCCAGTGGTGAGCACATACCCCTTCTGCCTGCCCCCCGCTGGGCCGCGTCAGCCGAGGGGCAGTAAGGGAGCTGGTTTGGGACAAAATGAACCCGCCTGGGGCTCATAGCTAGGCTAGCACAGGGGAAATGGCGTGTGGCAGGTAGGTCCCCAGTGCGGTGACGCAGGGCCAGCTCAGACGTTCGTAAGTACCTAAGGTGCCCTGGACCCTGACGTGAAGGCACACTGTGGGCAAGGAGCAAGAAAGGCCCCTATTCACAAAATCACGTGCTCCACGGGCAGCCAGTGTCCCTTGGTCCCAAGAGCCCTTGACTGTGAAGCGTGGAGCTCCCTGCACCTCAGCCTTCTGGGAAAGCTGGCGCTGGGGGACAGCCCCAGACTCACCTTGCAGATGGTGGCCACGCAGATGTTGCCCAGATTCAGCGGGTCAATGGCCTCCAGCTTCATGCCCTCCTCAAACCAACCGCCTTCTGTGTAGACAGCTCGGACCTTAGAGGAATGGGACAGTGGGGAATCTCTGGGCAGGCCCAGGGACGGGTGGGGGACAATCCTGTGGCAGAACCTGGCGATGGAAAGGGACAGTCCCGGGAAGAGCCAGGGTCCTCAGGCCGGGAATGGACCGTGGCCACGGGGAGAGTGCCCCGGGCTGTGCCTCACCTTCTTGAACAGGTAAGGAACGGCGTCACAGTAGATTTTCCGGAAGGTGGGATGATGGGCCATGTCACTGCGTCTCTCTTGCGTGGAAGGCAGAGGGAGTGAGGAAGAGAAGGGAGGTGAAGGCAGCCAACAGGGCCTCTCCCGACTCCCCCAGAAATGCGAGGCCGCTCCCAGAGGGGCCCCAGCACGCCCCGCCCTAGACCACAGGCAGACGGGTCTAGGTCAGAAAACCAGAGCTTGCTGTGGGGACGCTGCAGCCCTCGAGACCCAGGTTCCTCCACGTGACATGGGAGAGGATGGGGCGAGCGGCATCCGAGTCCAAATCTTGATTTTGCCCCTCGAGAGCTGAGCTGTTGACTTGATCCTGTCACTCAGCTGCTCCAGCTGTCGGTGCTGTCATATGCAGGTGGGGGTGACAGGCTCTACCTCCCATCACCGTTGGGAGGTGTAGACAAGGTGTCCCCCCAACCCTTGAGGAAATGGCCAGGGTCACTGCGACCTGGGGCTCTGCTAACCTGACATCTTGATGCCGTGGCCAACGCGCCGTGACCAACCCACTGGGTGGATCAAGGGGCTCCACATGTGGCACCAGAAGTCATCGTCACTGTCACCATCCTCATAGAGGAGTCGTAGGCGACCGCCAATGACCGTGTCCACCACAGCCATGCGGGTCCGTGACACTTGGGACTTGTCCACCACCTCCAGCCGCATGCCCTGACGAAAGGGGTACTTCATGCTCTCCACCATCTGCAATGACAGCAGAACACAGGCCTGTGTGGTCACGGGCTCCTCCCACCTGCCTTCCCTCTCGGTCTCAGGGGGCTGGCATTGTGGCAGAGTGGGTAAAGCCGCCACCTGCGATGCTGGCATCCATGGGCACTGGTTCATGTCCTAGCTGCTTTCCTTCTAACCCAGCTCCCTGCTAATGGCTGGAAAAAGCAGTGGAGGACGGCCCAAGTGCTTGGGTCCCTGCTACCCACGTGGGAGACCTGGAAGAAGCTCCTGGCTCCTGCCTGGCCCAGCCCTGGCCACTGCGGCCATCTGAGGAGTGAACCAGCAGATGGACAATCCTCTCTCTGTAATGCTTGACTTTCAAATAAACAAATAAATCTTAAAAAAAAAAGCAGAGGAGGGAAGGCGTGGTGGGATCACCGTGAACTCAGGTCAGATGACCCCTCCGGCACCGCTGGGGCTGCCATGGCCCTGGTTCCCTAGGATGACAGGCACACAGCTCTCAGCTGCACACCACTTCTCACCAAACACTACCAGTAGGTCAAGACAATGGGAATCACAAAGCCCACTCAGATCAAGGAAACGCAAGGGACCTGCAGAGGCCAAGTGATGTGTCAGTCACACAGCGGCACCAGAGCTGGGCCTGGAAGCAGTGTCCAGCCTGTGCTCGATCCCGGGCACCCAGCCTCCTCTCTGCTGAGAGCACACAGAACACCCGCATCCGGGGGCTGGCGTTGTGGCAGAGTGGGTACTCCCGTCCAGGGAGCTGAGGTCTGATTCCGGCTCTGAAATGCTATCAGGCACCTCAGTAG